TTCCTCCTGGATAGCCTATGAAGCTGTTGTCAACAATTTTGAGCGTCTTCTGTTTTGGTTTGATTTCGGATTTATTTGAACTGTTTTTAAAAGTTGCCCTGAATCAAAGGGCTGCAGACTTTGGTGTATCCGAGTACGTCCATATCGACAAAATCTGGCTTGTGAAATTAATGTTACAGGGATGCGGTTTGGATGTAGCAAAAGCCATAGCATTTGTGTTTGGGCTAGTTATTGTTTTCATTACAAAACTCTGCTACATGCACCTTAACTTACTGTCAGATGGGTTAGTGTATGTGGGTTGAAATTCCGAGTTATCACTTAGCAGTAATTTTATGGGGTTTCATCTGAGGAAATTGGAATGGCTTGAAAAACAACTGACTACAAAAATGAATACTGCTTTCTAAATAATTCTGGCTCAGTTTCTACTCTTAGCAAGCTGATTTATGGTAAACACATGCTCAAGCACTTAGGATGGTGGTACAACTATAGTAAACCTCGCACAAGTCATATCAATTGGGACTATACATTTAATATAACTTGTGCAAAATGTGAGTAATTGTGATGAGAGAAATTGGTGGGGAACTTTATCCCTCCTTGAAGCAGCCATTATGGCCTGCATTGGATTTTAGTATACGTCGAATTGTTGTGCACCATTGTCTGTGACACAACAAAATATTTGCTACACTTACAAAACAAGAGCGTAATAGTTCCTTGCAGTCGTTGCAAAACCGTGACCCTTTACATAATAACCCTTGAGGGTCTCCCAGTGTCCTGGCTGACAATCCCCAAGTAAAATTGGTCATTCACTTCATGGCTGAGTTCACAACAAACCCCTCCCAATGAGTATTACAGGGCGTTGGATCAAATGAAACATTTACAACAACAAAAATGAACTCCTTTGCCTCCTGTTCATTTTCTTAAGAGTGTGAGTGAGGAGAATGTGAGGTTCTCCTGTGCCACAATGTATCAGTGTGGGGCTGTGAGTCACAGAAAATACAACGATGCAATAATAAGGAAACTTAATGAAAATAAGGGACCAAACAGCAAGCAGAGATTAATTCTTCAATATTATTATAATTACCCCCAACCCAACCCACATACAATAGGCATCTGAGCAGCGGCTTAACTAAAGGTTTAAGATTTAACAGGGCATCCTTCATATGACACCTCCCTAAAGGCATTCACGAGGTTATTTGGAGTTTGACAGATCGTGTGCTTGTCAGCTGCTCACTCGATTGAAGAAAGGGCATTCCTTCAATAGGACGAATCTCATTCCATTCCAAGAAAAGAAGGGCTTGTAATAGTCAATCTCTATATTGCCTGCTCCATGTCTCCCGCCCGACCCGCCCTACCATCGGTGGCCGGGCTCTCAGCCTCTCTGCCCCCACACTCTGGAACTCCATCCCTCAGTCCCTTCGCCTCGCTTCCTCCCTCGCCTCCTTCAAGGCCAGTCTCAAGACCCTTCTCTACGACCGTGCCTTTGGTCTCCCTCCCACCTCTCTGCCTTCCCTCACCCCTACCCCACCCTCCCCCATGCTCGGGTCCCGACCCCTGACTGTCCAGTGCATTTGGACGTCCTCCTGATGTGAAAAGTGCTCTATAAATGTAATTTGTTGTTGTTGTTGGATCCCTGATAGAGCTTGATCGCAGCATTGTTATGGGGCAGGAAACATAAGCCAACTAGAAACTTGGGAGGAAGAAAATGATTAATGTTGAAAGCCCTAGAGGTCAATTGCATACTGCTGTTGGGCCTGGGTGGAGATTTGCATTCAAGAGGAAGCTAAACTTTCACAGGAGCGAGAAGCGAATAGAAAGGTATGGGAGGGATTAAGGAGTGGGTGAAGACTTGTGTGGAGTATAAGCAGCAGCAAGGACTGTTTGGGTTGAGTGACCTGCATCTTTGCTGTACATTCTTTACAAATCTTTTTTCTTTGAGTTGAGTTGTTTCGCTGGATTTGTGATATTCCCAACCAATGTGTCCAGGTATTATACAACAACAACAAATTAAATTTGGATAGCACCTTTCATGTCGGGAGGACGTCTCAAGGCATTGGTATTATAATATGAGGAGGTCACATTGTTGCTGAAGCTTAACATCGTGGACGTTTCTTCTATTTTAAAGGAATTTTCGCCTACCTTAACTACCATGTTCCACATACAAGAAGAGAAATTATTCAAATCCTGTTCAAAGGATTGCAGAGGCTCGAATACAGAGGTTATGATTCTGCTGGTAAGTAACACAAAAATGTATTTTGTATTTGTCAAGGAGATGCATGTATAATACAACTAGTTCTTTCTATTCTCCCCCCCCCACCCACCCACCCCCACGCCCCACCTTCAAGGAGGCTGTGTGCAATTCATTGCCATGTTTTGCCCACAAAATATACAGTCAATTCACTTTACAGTATATTCCATGAAGTGCTTTGAAACATCTGAAACAAATGATAAGGTGCTATATCAAATGCAAGGATTATTATATTATTATTTATGTTTGTAAATTGTAGTGCTTTTATAGTTGTAGATGAAATTTAGAAGTCCACTTATGCACAGCAATGTCCCACAAATAGCCAGCAAATAAATGACCAGTTTTATTTGGGTAATTGTTGGCCAGCAAACTGGGAGAGACTCCTTTCTTTTGTCGAGTCGTGCCATGGGATCTTTATCGTCCACTGAACAGGCACATACAGGAATTCACTTTAAACTCTCATCTCAAGGACAACACCTCTGAAAATGCAGCAGCCATCACTCTCAGTCCTTCATTGAGTATCAGCCTAGATTACAAGTTCAAGGTCCTGATATGGAGTCCTGTAGCTCAGTGGTTAGAGCGCTTGCCTCACAAGCGAGAGACCTGGGTTTAATTCCCAGCAGGGCGAAACCTTGGGCAAGTTTACTTACTCCACATGCCTGATAATAATCCCTCAAGAAGAAACAAACAATAATAAAATTGTTCACTTCAATCCATGACTATTTGTATGATACTGCTGTGCGCAATTGGTTGCCACGTTTTGCCCACAAATATATACGGTCAATTCACTTTACAGTATATTCTGTGAAGTGCTTTGAGACGTCGAGAAGACATGAAAAGCGCTATATCAATTGCAAAGCTTATATATATTATTATATGATATTTACTTCATGACTGTTTGTGGGTCATTGCTGTGTGCAAATTAGTTATCTTGTACATGTACAAATTCACAGTTGCTGCACTTCACAGTAAAGAGTTAAGGTGCAATATCAAATGTAAGGATTATTTTTAACCCTCTGCAAGGTTACTTCTTTAAGTCCCCTCTGGGATATATTTTAAGCCTGAAGAGTCCCGTCTTATCCAGTCAGCCCTCATTGGTTATCTCTACCAACACTCTGCTCTGTACTCCGCTAAAGCCTGGCTAGCCTCCTTATGACGCGGTGACCAGAACCGTGCACATTGTTGAAGGATGTAGCAGACTCCAGTCATTTCATCCTGTAAAAGGTCGACATCTGGATGGGTGGGTGGATTCATGGACAGGGCTGGTGGATTGACATTTGAGGTCGAAGTTGGAATTGAATTGCCCGAGGTCCTTAACTTAAAAAGATGCATGACGATAAATAATACAGTAAAGCTCTGATCTGTATAATTATATAATCGCCTAAATCATACATCTGCCCAAATCCCATTCAACAGTTTATATTTTATTCAAGTTTGACATATGCATGAGATAAATTAGATGTATGGTCCCAACTGATACATACAACTTATGTGAGGTTTACTGTAGTGTGTGATGGCAATTTTAGCGGATATTAAACCGCATTTTATAACGGATTCATCATGAGCCAAATCAATCAACCTCAGCAGGAACTGCATGTACTGGTTTTGGTTATGGATCTTGTACACAGTAATATTGTCTCAGCATTGATTTAGAGATTTGATTCCTTTGCTCCACGCAAGCATTACACAAATATGTGACTGTGCCAGCAAAGAGCCAGGATTAGCAGATACTGGCTACACTGAATACTGTGTACTATGTTAGGATGGATCATACATCCTGATACTCTTATCTCTCTTCAAATCAAACAAAGTGTTTTGGGGCTTATGTGCAGTGAGGGCTGATTCCTTGAGCTGATGTAGCAGTATACATTATTAATTCAACCTGACTAATTGGTAGCACTCGCCTCTTGACTCAGAAAGTTGTGGATTCAAGCACAACTTTGGGGCTTTGAACTCACATTGTCTTGGCTAAAACTCCAATGCGGTAGTGGGGGTGGGGGGTGGGATGGGTGCTCTACATTGTTGGAGATGTCTTGTGCAACCCTAAATCTGTACCTTCTTCATTTGCTGTATTGTTGCATTCAAAGGTATTTGTTCTGAGTTTACTTTCTCAATTCCATTTAAAATCTTGTATACCTCACTACAACGTCCACGCTGAGATGTCTCTTTTGAAGACTCAAAAGTCCTGGGTTGTCTAATTGTTGCTCGTAGCTTATTCCGCAAATGAGTTGAAGAGTTCTGTGATCCCAAACTCCTGCTCAGGTCCAAATCCCTGACTGTCCAGCGCCTTGGGACGTTCTCCCAACGTGAAAGGCGCTTTACAACTGTAAATTGTTGTTGTTGTTGTGAATTTGTCACCAGGTATAGGAATTGATGGTGGAAATCACAAGGAATCCGAGGAGAAAGGGAAGCAAATCTGCGTCATCAAAAACAAGGGAAAAATAAAGACCTTACAAGAGGAAATAAACAGTAAGTACTGGTCAACAGAATGAATCGTTTTTTTTAAATATATTATAGGGTCACAAACACGGAATGAAATGCTTCTCAATTTACATTTGAAAAAATCCAGGCTGAATTCAACAAAGGCCTCACACTGTGCGCAAAATGTCTTGTGTCCAATCTCAGATCTGGAACCACCCGACCCACCGGGGCTTTGACTTCCAGGGTAACAGCAGCCGAGTTGGAAGAATCCCGACCCCCAGAGAATCATCTGTTCCTTCAATCCCACTAACAAGCCAGGGTAGCTGGAGGTTTGTCAACAGTGACTTGGAGTATGACCAATCCGCCTGGGAAAGAGGAGCCAGGACACGTTGTTTAATTCCGCTATCCTGTTCCACCCGCCCAGAATACGCTTTAGACCAGTTCTAGCCAACCTGTGGCCTGCGGGAGCCATCAAGAAGTGCCTCCCGCGCCCCCCCCCCCCCCACCCCCCGAGTGGTTAGAGTGCTCACCTCTCAAGTGAGATGACCCGGGTTCGATTCCCGGCAGGCAAAACTTTATGTAAGTTTCCTGACTTCACAATTCTCTGTTTACCTAGCAGTAAGAAGGAACCCAGTTGTTAGTCAAATGGATCACTAACAGGGGATAATAATCCCTCAAAAAAAATGGTCACTAAATCGACGACTGTTTGTGAGAGGGACACTGCTGTGCGCAATGAGCTGCCCGTTTTACCAACAGCATACACAGTCAATTCACTTTACAGTGTATTCTGTGAAACGCTTTGATACATCTCTACGATATGATAAGGCGCTGTATCAAATGGAAGGATTATTATTGATATTCACACAAATCTAGGAAAGTCCGTGTTCGACAATAGTGTGTTTACATTTTTTTCTGGAGTGCATATTTCTTGATTCATCCCGTTAATCAAGAAATATTCAATCAAGAAAATTTATTTTATTCGCCGACCTTAAGGGTTGTTATAAAGCATCTATCTGATAAGAATTCATGGACTTTGCTTCAACCACAGATGTGGCTGGGAGAATTCCACTTGCCAGCCACACCGCTGTACAAAGCAATGGAGTCCTGTAGCTGAGTGTTTAGAGCACTCGCCTTGCAAGCAAGCTACCCAGGTTCAATTCCAGGCAGGGTGAAACCTTGCCAATGAGGATTGTTTTAGATGTGAACATTTCCATATTTGGTGCTGTTGCAATCGACCCTCTGCTCTCAGTAATGAGAGGGTGTCAATGGCAGTTTCAGTGGTGTTATAGGGTGTGGAGAAGACAAGGGGAGACATGAACCACTAAACAGTGTCATTGGTGACTTGGGCAGCCCCAGAACTGGGAATGATTTGCTAAGAGAGATGTGTTGTCTGATAATATATTCAAGGACTTTGGCAAGGAAAGAATGGCAGCTTTGCACTTGCACATGCCTAATAATAATCCCTCCAAAACAATAATAAATTGGTCATTTTCAATCCACCATGACTGTCTGTGGGACATTGCTGTGCGCAATTGGCTGCCGTGTTTTGCCCACAAATATACGGTCAATTCACTTTACAGCATATTCTGTGAAGCGCTTTGAGATGTCGAGAAGACGTGAAAAGTGCTATGTCAAATGCAAGGATTATATATTATTATAATGTTCCCTAATCATCCCCTCTATGTGACTCTCTTGAATTGTTTTGACTCGCATTTCAAATTTCTCCTAGAACAAGAAGATGTCGACTTCGATGCAGTGTTTGACATGCATTTGGGCATTGCACACACCCGTTGGGCAACACATGGGGTACCGAACATTGTGAACAGCCATCCGCAGCGATCAGACAAGGACAATGGTGAGTGTGGTCGAGCAGAGTGACTAAGCACAACTTCTCAGTAAGGCAAATATCAGAGCTCCTTCTGAGGAGTTGATGTTAGAGCCTTACATTTAACTAGGAACCCAGTTGCTAGTCAATTGGCGGATCGCTAACAGGGGGTTATAATCCCTCCAAACAAAATGTGATCACTCAATCCACGGTTGTTTGTGGCACACTGCTATGTGCAATTGCCAGCTGCATTTCGCCCACAAAACATGCAGTCAATACACTTTACAATTAATCTTGTGAAACGCTTTGAGACGTCTCAATGACGTAATAAGCGCTATATCCAATGCAATTATGATTATTATTATTAAAACTACTGAGGCCACTCAAGGTCTGGTGAAGGTGCTGAACAACCACTAACATTTCCTCACTGGCTATTAGCTCCGACCAGTATTTGCTTGCTGCATGTTTGTGGTTGCTTTCAACAGTCGTCATTCAACTCTATCCCTTGTTGATGGAAACAACATTCACTTGTGCCCAGAAAGGCTAAGCGGGGGAGCTGAGCAAGAGCTGGCAAGGCCTTAAAAGGTTTTCGTTTAACAAGGAAACACCAGGCTGCCGCAATCATTTTGCTTTAAAGTTCAGCATTTTTGCAGCTATGAACCGCGGTAAATATTTATTGGGCTGTTAAATAGAAATCGTCAATGCACCTATTGTAAAAATGTGTAGAGACCAATTTCTTAAATAATAATAATGCTTGCATTTGATATTGCACCACATGTCGCCGAGATGTCTCAAAGCGCTTCACAGGATATACTGTAGAGGGCAGTGACTGTATTTTGTGGGCGAAATGCAGCAGCCAGTTGCTCACGGCAGTGTCCCACAAACAGCTGGTCATTGAGTAAATAAGTTATTCTTATTGTTTTTTTGAAGGGATTATTATCCCGGAAAAGCACCCACCAATCGACTAACAACTGGTTCCTACTTGCTGTGAGCTAAACAGAGACATGTGGAGTAAGGAAACCTGGCAAACTTTCACCCCCCTCCCCGGGAATCAAATCCGGGTCCTCTCGCTTGTGAGGCGAGTGCTCTAACCGATATGCTACAATCTACAACCTCCACAACCTACATTAGATTCTTGCTCAATTAAAGTGCTGTATGTTTTTTTTTTCTCCTGCTCAATACTAATTTTTTTTAAAAACAATTTCAGAGTTTATCGTCATCCATAATGGAATCATTACAAACTACAAGGATCTGAGAGTGTTCCTGGTAAGCCTTCAGTAACCCAAGCAGCATTTTCAAATCAGATACTGGTTGCACTTGTCACCCCTCCACTGAATGGAAATGTAGAGTATAAAGGTTTCCACAAGAAGAGAGGCCATTACCTTAAAAATTGTATTTTGCATTAAGTTTTCATGTAATCTTCAGGTCAGATCTTACATCAATGATGCCTTATGGGCACTGCAATGGTGCAGGAGGAGGTGTGTAGAATGTCTGTTTGGTTGAGCATTGCCTCAGTAATGAATGTTGCTCACACCAGTCTAAATCCAACAAGATTGTCGAAGTCCATCATTCGAAGCAAATGAGTACTGTCAAACCAAGTTAGGAAGTTCAAGCTCAGTCATGAAGTGCTTGTAGTGAAGAGTTAGCCGTGCAAGTGCAAAGCTGCCATTCTTTCTTTGCCAAAGTCCTTGAATATATTATCAGATAACACATCTCTCTCAGCAAATCATTCCCAGTTCTGGGGCTGCCCAAGTCACCAATGACATTGTTTAGTGGTTCACGTCGCCCCTTGTCTTCTCCACACCCTATAACACCACTGAAACTGCCATTGACACCCTCTCAGTACTGAGAGCAGAGGGTCGATTGCAACAGCACCAAATATGGAAATGTTCACGTCTAAAGCAATTGCCTAGACAGGTGAGGGGTTAGTATAGACCAGGAATGGGCCTTTTATGGTACAATGAGTTTATAAATAGTTATGCTTGTAAAATAGGCTTACTCGATGGTTACTGGTCATCTGGAAAGATTACAGAAAGTTGCCAGGAAATAATTTAGTCATATCTCGACCATAGGGTAGGACTTTGCAAAATCTGTGTGTAAATCTCTGCTTTCGTTGTGTTTACAGGAATAAATTTTTGTTAGGGATACGAATATATCAAGGAATATAGGGCAAAGGCAGGTAATTGGAGTTGAGGTCCAGATCAGCTATGATCTAATAGAATGAGGGGCTGAATGACTTACTCCTGTTCCTATGTGTTCTGTCCTTCAGGAAAGCAAGGGATATGCGTTTGAGTCAGAAACGGACACGGAATCCATCGCCAAGCTTATTAAGTATGTGCACGATAACCTGGAGAATGAGAATGTCAGCTTCGCCACCTTGGTGGAAAGAGTCATTCAGCAACTGGTAAGATGAGCTTAAGAAAGAGTCCAATGTACATGAGCTTGCTTTGACGCAACGTAACTCCCAGCGAAATGTTTGAAATAAGGAATAACGGACATCAGTGCAGGCCCAAAGTGCCGAGTGGCCTATTTCTAACTCGCACTACATTTGAAGGCCTGGAGATCCGCCAAGTACCAGCATTTCTCACCAAGCTCAGCAGTGTCCTGTCACCGCCTCCCGCCTATCAGGACCTACCACTGCACACAGACAGAGAGAGAGAGAGAGACACACACACAGAAACACACACACACACTCACAGAGAAAGACACACACAGAAACCGACACAGAGAAACGCACACACACACACTCACAGAGAGAGACACACACACACTCACAGAAACAGACACAGAGATACACACACAGACACACGCAGACGCAAAGAGAAACACGCACACACACCCTCAGAGTGAGAGAGAGAGACAGAGAGCGCGACACTCAGTGACACACATACTCATAGACACAGAGACACACACCCTCAAAGACAGACACATAGGAGAGTCAGACACATCACACAGAGACACTCATAAACACACACACACACACACATATAGAGAGATGCACATAGAGAGACACAGACACACTCACAAAGAGACCAACACACACACAGAGGAGAGAGACACACAGACAATCACATCAGCAGGGCCTCGGGGTGAGCGAAGCCCATTTCCCACTCACAATTTTTACAGCAATAATATTAAGGCTAAACTTTGTGAAATCTGAGGTCTCAGATTGGGATTTAGTGACCTCTCGCACCATTCCCACCCATTGTGGAATGGTGTGTTGACATTCAGTGTCTCAACTCACAGGTGAGAAAGGTTTACTGGGGTGAGGTCCAAAGGGCGGCTTTGGGCTAAGTAGCAACTTAGCACCATTAGGGGAGGAAGGGAAAAACTGTAGATCGGAGGTGAAATGGTTATATATAATGGTTATATATAATAATGAATGCACTGCTTCACATCCCTACAGGAAGGTGCCTTCGCTTTGGTATTCAAGAGTGTACACTTTCCCGGGCAAGCTGTTGCGACCAGGTAAAGGGCAGCACAGTTGAAACATTATGTCAAATCCTGTGACTCATAACTTTGCTTATTTATGTTTAAGGTTAGAGCTGCCAAGAACATCATCGGTTCACAGCGCAACCTAGATTCATTGCGAATGGGCCCCGGTTACCCCAAGTCCTTTCTCCCCCACCCATTTTCTTTGCGGTATCGGAGCACATCGTTGACAAATGTGCAGGAATTTAAACAGCTTCGCTGCCCCACACATTGACTGCTCTGTTTAGCTTCGCGACTGATGTGTATGTGCTTTTTTTGCAGTGCAGGTATATAAAAGGTAACCCCCCCGCACCCACCCCGACTGTCAAACTGAGCTAACTCTGTACCGTTTGGTCAATGGAGTCTTAAGTATAACGGGGATATTCTTTAGAAGTTTCAGTTCCTGCTGAAGTGTTAAGCTTTACATTTTATTTAAGAGAAAGAATTACTTTCTTTCAAACGTTAACTTTCTGCTGCACGTCTTTTAGGAATCTGGGATTTGCTTTCATTTGTCTCAACAAAGGAGAATTGTTCGTTCTCTCTTGTGGAGGAGAGACAATAATAATAATAATAATCATTGAATTTGATATAGAGCCTTATCATGTTGTTCAGACGTCTCAAAGCAATATATTGTAAAGTCGCACTGAATAGGAGGAGCGAAAGTTGGGGATTTTTCGTTTCCATTGAGAATCTCCCACAATTATTTTTTCCTCTAATTTCTTTTTAACCAGTCATTGAATTATCTTCTACATCTTTGTATGCTTTTGTTGCTGTTTATAGTATAATATTTATATTATATTTCACATTGAGAGGATGTCCCGAAGCGCTTGGCACCCAAGCTGGGGGTTGGAGTCAAGGGATGGGGGTAGAGAGAAAAGATGACCGAAAGTGTGGTCAAAGAGGTTGGTCTTGAGATGGATCTTGAACAAGCTGAGGGAGAGAGGAAGTTATAGGGACTCCGGGATGGAATTGCAGTGTGCCATCTGCCGATGGTGGGGCGAATATGGCGGTGGGTATGAAGCAGGCCAGTGCCCACTGAGCAAAGGAAGTGACCAGGTCAGTATGGTATATGAAACTATTGCAGAGTTGTTCAATTCTCCCAGGCTGTTGGGTGTAGGCATTGCCTGATCTAATTTTCCCGTCCCCCTCTCTCTCCATAGCCACGTGGTGGGGCACTGGAGCTTGTTCTGGTACCTGGCTGAAGTCATCTAACTTACCACAGACTCTTTCACATCTATCAGTTTGTATGGCATAGTGTTTCATTGAGCAGTGCCTCTATTCGAATCTAAGTATTATTTATGCATAACAATATAATAATCCTTGCATTTGATACAGCTGCTATAGTGTCAAACGTCTATGAAAGTGCTTCACAATCTTTCTGTAAGCTGTAGTGATTGTGTTCTTGTAGGTAAATATCCTGTCCAGTTTGTGCACAGCAATTTCATGGAATGAAGAACCAATTTTATCTGCAAGATTTTTGACCAGCACTTTGTGAGAAACTCAGTTCCCTTTAATGCCTTGAGAAATTTAGCATCCATTTTGCTAGGAAGAGGGACCTCAGTTTAACATCTCAAATGAAGGATGCTATACTATGCAATGATCCCCCAGCACTACTGGAGTGTTAGTCTATATGATCTCGAAGTCCCAAAGTGAGGCTTTAATCTACAACCTTCTGACCGAGACTCGAGAGTGATATCAACTGAGCCAGATTGACACCTATATCTGCTGTAAGTTCGAGCTGCAAGTTCACACAGCTATTTTGAGACATTGTGACACAGCCACATATTTATTTTTATAGACGGGGAAGCCCTTTGATGATTGGAGTAAGAAGCGAGCACAAACTTTCCACTGATCACATACCAGTTCTATATCGCACAGGTAAGTCCAGCAGTTATAGGAAAACAAAGACTGTATATAAAATGATCTGAGTTGGCTGAATCTTTAGATTGGATGGAGAGGGAACAAATAGAACCATAGAATTTTTCAGCACAGAAGGAGGTCATTCAGCCCATCGAACCTGCACTGGCTCTCAGAGAAATGTGTTCATTCAATCCCACTGCCCTGCCCTATCCCCACACCCGTACAAGCCTCTATCTTTCATATACCCATCTACTTCCCTCTTGAAACCCACAATGGACTTCAGAAGGGAAGTGGAAGCTACTTCCTGTCAGGAATGTGAATGGAGCAGGCTGGAGGTGACTCTGCATCCCAAAGACATCAGAGAGAGAGAAAAGCTAACATTTCCTTCTGAAGTAGAGGAAAGCCTACTTCCTCCATTACTTTCCTTCCCTTATAAGGACTTAGCCATATGGCTGTTTTCTCCTTTGATAGTACGTGTGTTAGCCTGACTCAGCTGACAGCACTCTCGCCTCTGAGTCAGAAGGTTGCGGGTTCAAGCTGCATGCCAAGATGTTGAACTCAGTCTAGGCTGACACTCCAGGGGCATGCAGAGAGCTGCATTGTTGGAGGATAATTATTATTTCATTTAGTGACTTGTCCTTACTATTGTGAACTTTATGGGTGTGGGAAGAGATTTTGGCCACTAAATATGTACATCTTGCCTTTAATCCCAATAACAGGTAAAGAACTGAAGGGAGGTTGTCTACTCTCTCGCACAGATAATTCTACCTCTTTATTCCCTGTTGGACAAGAGAAGTCCGTGGAGTACTACTTTGCATCGGATGCCAGGTAAATAATAATATAATAATAAACCCCTTGCATTTGATATAGTGTGTCAGCCTGGCTCAGTAGTAGCATTTTCTCCCCAGAATCAAAGGTTGTAGATTCAAGCCTCACATCGGGACTTGGAATCACATAGTAGTCTAAGCTGACACTCCAGTGCAGTGCTGAAGGTGTCTTGATTGTTGGAGGTGCTGTCCTTCGGCTGAAAAGTTAAACCGAGGTCCCGCCTGCCTGTTCAAGTGGTTGTTAAAGATCCCATGGCACTATTTAAAAAGAGAAGGGGATTTCTCTCTCTCGGGGTGCTGGCCAACAATCCCCGAGATAGCATTGGTTGCTCACTCCATGGCTGTTCGTGGACGATTGCTGTGTGCAAATTGGCTACCGCATCACATAATTCACAGTCAATCCACTTTACGGTGTATCCTGTGAAGTGTTTCGAGACATCTTAACAATATGATTAGGCTCTATATCAAATACAAGGTACAATAATATCAAATATTATTCATGCTTTTCATGTCAGGAGCACACCTCAAAGCATTTCATAGGATTTACCATGAGAGGTGTCTTTTCTGAAAATCCTGTTTCCTATAAATCCGTAAAAGATCATGTAAATCCTGTTTTCACAGGAATTAACAAGACTGTGTATTTTGCTGGGAAACATATTTCAAATCCTTTCATCTTCATCCTCCCACTTACTCATCTGAACAGTGCTGTGTGTCAGCCTGGCTCGGTTTGTAGCTTTCTGCTGTCCTGTCGGTCTCTGTGGTTTGTTGTGATTGCCGAGCACGGTAAACCTTTAATTCGCACACAGCGCTGTCATCGAGCACACAAACAAGGTGATTTTCCTGGAGGACAATGACGTGGCTGCGGTGGTTGACGGCTGCCTTTCCATCCATCGGGTTGAGCGGACGGTGGCTGACTGTCCGGCTCGTGGCATCCAGACCCTGCAAATGGAACTGCAGCAGATAATGAAAGGTAACAGAATAAGAAAACCGCGCACACCATCGCCGTGCTCATTGTCCATTGCTGCGCAGAAAAATGACCATAGATAATTTATCAACTGCGAACTTCCGCTCCCCCTCACTCCCATCGCAAACTTCAATGAGATGTTCAACCAAGGTCCCATCTGCCTTTTCACGTGGAGTGTAAAGATCCCATGGGGACGATTCGAAAAGCGAAGGGAGTTTCTCCCAGTGTCAATTGTCATTTTTAAGACTGAGGTGGATAGATTTTTGTTAGATAAGGGTTTCATTGGATATGGAGCAAAGGCAGATAAATGGAGTTGAAGCACAGATCAACCGTGATCTAATAGAATGGTGGGACAGGCTCGAGGGCTGAACGGCCTACTCTTGTTCCTATGTTTTATATATTTATATTCCTTCCCGGACCTTCCTTTTCGACTGCATCTACGGTCACCTTCCCCCTTCCCCCTGGCTAGGCCTTGGGTTCCACCATCGTTAAGCACTCTTGAGTTGCCGCCCGATGTGGAGGGCGCTATATAAGTGCAAGTTGTTGTTGTTCCTATGTTTAAGTGGGCTTTGAGGGTAGTGGAATTGGACGTTGATCTGACAAATCTTAATTTCATGGTTTAAAAAGAAATCAACTTCGCCCCCATCTTTCGCAGGAAACTACAGCTCTTTTATGCAGAAAGAAATCTTTGAGCAGCCGGAATCCGTGGTTAACACAATGAGAGGAAGAGTCGATTTTGAGAACTGCACAGGTAAGAGTGAAGCTTTTTATCGATCATTGTCTTTTAAATCCTGAAGTATCTGCTCGGTTACCATCAGCATTTTGTTCAAACCAATGCATTCATTTTGGGCTTGCGATATAAATTGTGAATATACGTTATATATGTTTATCTGTAACTTTCATGTTCCCCAACTGTTGATATTAACCCACATCCTCTGATCCAAATGCCCTTCCCATTGAAATCAATCTGAATACTCAAGGGATGTATCAGGATTTCCCAGTGACTGTCACCATTAGTCTTTATGGGAAAAGATTCTTTCTTCCTCCATATTAATATAATAATCCTTGCATTTAAGTTAGCAAACTTTATCACATCAGCCAGACATCTGATAGCACTTCACAGAATTACTGCAAAGTGTAGTAACTGTGCATCTTTTGTAGACGGACAGGACAGCCATGGAATAATTGGCCAATTTTTAATTTGGGGACTTGTTAACACTGGGAGAAACTACCTTCTCTTTTCCAATAGTGCCATGAGATCTTTAGACAGTGTCCCTCTGATGGTGTGAGTTGGGAGGGCGAGGGGAATGCTTGTTCCTCTGGTGGTATGAGTGGGGTGTACTTCAAGTTAAACCAAACATAAACCACCCACAGAATCTCAGTAGTTTGGTTGCAAGACTCAAACACGGTGCTGGGTGTCATGGTTGACTTAGAAGAATGTTTGGCCTCCAATACAAACTAGGTATCTGCAGCATTGACTAGTTACAAATCCTGTTGCTAATTGTGTAAAGTAGGCCTCTTCTGTTTCACGTGCTTTATGTTGTGTGTGTTTTTCTCCACCAGTGATCCTTGGAGGATTGAAGGATTCAATTAAGGAAATCCGAAGATGTAGACGCTTAATAATTATTGCTTGTGGAACAAGCTATCACACCGGTGTGGCTGTAAGTTTTCTTTGCTGTAAAAATTGAAAATACGGTGGAGTTCCATTACAAGATGGTAGTTATAATAATAATAATAATAATTATAATACTTGCACTTGGTACAGTGCCATTCACTTCATCATACCTGTCACCCCTATCCTCACCTGACTACACTGGCTCCTCATCCCTCAGAAGATCGAGTTTAAGATCCCTATCCTCACTGTTAAAGCCTCCACGGTCTTGCTCCGACCTTGAACTTCTAAAACCTTACCAACCTGCACGCACCCTCTGCTCTGTAAGCACTGCTTCACGTCCCCTGCTCTGCTCGTCCCACCATCAGCGGTCAGACCTTCAGCTATGCTGCCCCCACTCTCTTGAACTCCAAAAACAATAATAAAATTGGTCATTTTCAATCTACGACTGTTTGTGGGACATTGCTGTGCGCAATTGGCTGCCACGTTCGCCCACAAATATACAGTCAATTCACTTTACAGTGTGTTCTGTTAAGCGCTTTGGGACATCCTCCCAACGTGAAAAGCGCTATATCAAATGCAAAGATTATTATTATTCCAGTGTCCCTTCCCTTGCCCACTTCAAGCTCCATCTCAAGACCTTCTTCTTTGATCGTGTGTCTTCCCACTTCCACCCCCACCCCTTTGATCCCCACCTCTCTTGAATCCAACCCTGACCTCGGATGCAAACCCTCAATTGTCCAGGGATGCACGTTGAGACGTCTCGATAGTGCGCTATATGAAATACAAGGAATATTATATATTATGATGGCTGTTTACCTCAAAAGCTACAGAAATGAGTCAGTATTTAAATGCACAGCAGACACGCCATGTAAAGTGGATCTGTTAGCATATTATACCTGGACTGTCTATTGCCTTGTCTGTAACACGAGCGGTTGTCGTGTTTTATTGAAGGAGAGCTGGGAGATGTTTTCACGGTAAACTGCACCTCATTGACAGATGGTGCAGCTCTCATAAATCCTATTTAGGTTATAATGAGCCAGGAGACTGTTCAGAAACTGAAGTCATTGTTAAGAAACAGCTTGGTGCTGTAACAGGAAGTCGGAAGAGTGGATATCCTGGAAGATTGAAATTAAAATGATCTGAAGGGCCTTCTTCACACAAACCTCTCTTGTGATCTGGAACTGGTGATCGTAGAAACAGACAAGTCTGGAACTCCCTGGTGTATTATAACAATAGTAATCCTTCATTTGATGTGGTGCCTTATCATGTCGTTGAGACGTCTCCAAGTGTATTGTGATGCACAGAAGCACCACATTGGGATCTATCACTGGTGGCTCATGCAAGCGATCATTACACTGCGTATCTTAGCCGGAAATGCACGCCATCCATTCTTGGTCGATTTCAATGTTCGTCTTGAAATGGTCTTACACGCAAAGACATTTCAGGTCACTGATCTCGGTCCAATGCCCCCTGCTGGAACATGTATGTATGTGGCATTGGATGAGACTTGGCTGTTATGGACCTCTTTGCTCCCCTCCCCAGTCCCCGCCCCCACCCCCCCCACCACCAACCCCCTATCACATTGCGGTCATTATCGCACACCAACAAATAATAATCTTAATAATAATCCTTGTAGCACCTGCTTTTTTTTACAGTGCTTTTTAATATTATTAATAATAATCCTTGCATTTCATACAGCGCCTTATCACGTCATTGAGACGTCTCGGAGCGCTTCACAAAATATACTGTAAAATGTGTGTTTTGTGGACGAAACACAACAGCCAATTGTGCATAACAGTGTCCCACAATCAGTCGTGGGTTAAGTGACCCAACAATTTTTTTTTGAGGGAATATTACCACCGGAAAAGTGATTCCCCCAATCGACTAACTAACGGGTTCCTCCTGCTAGGAAACTTGCCCAAGGTTTTTCCCCGCACGGGAATCGAATGGGGGACGGGATCTCACAAAGGACGCAAAAGGAAAAAGGCAGTTACATCCCATCGAGCACTTAGGGCATGTGATTGATTTCAGTTTGGTAATTTCTCCCCGTCTTTGCGGTTGGCCCCTCAGACACGCCAGATCCTGGAGGAACAGACGGAGCTGCCGGTTCTGGTGGAACTCTCCAGCGATTTCCTGGATCGAGGCACCCCCGTGTTTAGGGATGATGTCTGCTTCTTCCTCAGCCAGTCAGGTACAGTGCAGAAATTGTCAGCGAGTGAAATTGTCTCTCAATTGAAAACCTACACCAGACTTTCCGGGAACATGACACCTTTCACTGATAGCACATGCTCCTTCATTCCCCCACATCCATTGAACACCTGGTAATAGTAATAATAATTTATTATTAATATTAATACAACATAATAATAATAGTCATGATTACTGCTAACAGTGATGCTTGCCTTTGCTACAGCACCTTTCACATGGGGGGAGTCAAATTGGCAGCTGAGTTTGCCTGCGTAACATTCAATCACTGCACTTCACAGTAAACCCTTTGAAGTGTGTTGAGACATTTTGACCACACAAGGTGTTAAATATCAAATGCAAGGATTATAATTATTATCACTGTTAGTTGCATACTTTACCTGGTTGATTTAGGAAGGAGTAAATTTAGCTGTGTGGCATTGGGTGCTGGTTGTCTGTGTGGGTAGGAGACTCTTCTAACAACTTGGCCTACTTGAGCCTATTGCACATCAAAGCAACGTCCTCCAATTCTGCTCTCTTGAATCAAACTCAGAAAGCCAGTCTCATGATTGACAGGGAATCTTTTAGTGAATTGCTTGGCCAGTTTCTATTTAACCTGAGCTGTGGAGAGCTGTTTACTTTGAAAGTGTCACGGGTGGGTGATGTTTGTCCAGGGTTTCATTACCCAAAACATGCCGCAAGCTTTTCCACTGACAAAGAAGAGTGACTTTTACTGAGGAGAAGGGCTTCAGGATATATTTCTAATTTCTAGGTTTTGAAGGAAAGCACTATATTAAATGTAAAGATCGTTATTATTAAGTGTTTGCCATGCAGCTCTGAGCTATATGTGTAACCAGTTTCTGTTCTGCTATCAGGTGAGACTGCAGATACTTTAATGGCCTTGAGGTACTGCAAGGAACGAAGGGCGCTGACTGTTGGCATCACCAACACCGTGGGCAGCTCGATCTCTCGAGAGACAGACTGTGGCGTGCATATCAATGCTGGGCCAGAGATAGGCGTGGCCAGTACCAAGGTATGAGGTTTGCATTGATACAGGTCGAATATAATAATAATAATCATCCTTGCATTTGATATAACAACAACAACAAATTACATTTATATCGTGCCTTTCACGACAGGAGGACGTCCTAAAGTGCTGGACGTCCTATATAGAGCCTTATCCCAGCGAACTAGGATGTCTTTCCATGTAATTTGTTGTTCTTTTTATCAGATTGTTGAGGCATGTCAAAGCGCTTTACAAAATATATTGTAAAGTGGATTGACTGTATTTTGTGTGCAAAACGTGGCAGCCAATTGCGCACATCGGTATCCCAGAAACAGTCATGGATTGACTGACCACGTTTTTTGTGGGGAGGGATTACTACATCCGCCCCCCCCACCCCCGGAAGGCTAACAGCTGGGTTCCTACTTACTGCTAGGTAAACAGAGGCATGTAGAGTAAGGAAACTTGCCTAAGGTTTCGCCCCGCCCAGGAATCAAACCCGGGTCCCCTCACTTATGAGGTGAGCGAGCTAACCACTGAGCTACAGGACCCCAATACAGAAGATGTGCTTCCTCTTGGCTGAGACATTTCCAGTAACTCACCCAATGCTCACACGTGAGTCCAGGGGGTGAGTGTGGGCAGGAGAGTTGACCAGGAGGGGGCATCACAGTCTGTGAAAGTGGCAGCACAGCGAGACTGACCCTTACTCAATGTCTACACAAATCTTCAGAGTGTGTGTATTTGGGGGGAACGCTATCACTGGAGAGCAATCCACAGCTGGAGCCCTGGCTGATTTCCTCACTCGTCTCTTCCTAGCTCAGGGTGGATTGAGGCCAGTCGTGTTCTTGTGTATTAACCCTGCAGCCAAATTTGAAACCTCACAAAAAAAGAAAAGCGCTGACTGCGTTTCGTCTCTCGGTTGAACAGTTTCCCATAACCGTAAAGTAAACGAGGAAACAATGACTGAGAAACAACTTCAGGCCTTTTTGGAGAGAGTTTGGCGTTGTGGAGAATTCATGACTTTGAAGCACATTACGTGCTAAAAGCAAACCTTCCTTCAGCAAGGCTGGTTTCCTGTGGCTCATGTGAACTACTGTATGAATCACTTTACAGGGGATTGAGCCGCTCTATCCCTGTGAGAGATTTGTTCGTCTGGAGCACATCTGTTTGGAGTTAAGGAATTGGATGTGGTCGTCTCCAGTGCCCTCCCACATTTACAGCTTTCTATCTCCCAGCTACAGAGCACAGTAGCTTTCTCAAGAACTAATCCCTGTCTGTAGGTTAATAGTTCACTTCCCCAAAGCAGCAGGGTGGGGAAGGGGTGGGTGGGGGGGATTTAATTACTGTTCATTTTTTGTAGCACGTTATCATATTGAAATGTATCCAAACTCTTTCAGGGTACTTTTTAAAATAATCCTTGCATTTGATATAGCGCCTTGCGTCATCATCAGAACGCCTCAAAGTGCTTTGCCAAGTTTTCTGTCACTACTGCTGTGCACAATTGGCTGCCACGTTTAGCCCACAAAATGTACAGTAAATCCACTCTACAATATATTCTGTGAATGCCATGATAAGGTGCAATATCAAATGCAAGGATTATTTTTATTAATGTGAGGTGATTGTGTTTTGTAGACAAACACGTCAACTAATTTTGCATCCTGTATTACCTGCCCTAACAGCCAATGTGTCACAAACAGCCATGAGATGAGTGACTAATGTTAATCTTGGTTTGTCAGAAGAAACTCCTTTCTCTTTTCGACAAGTGCCATGGAATCTTTAAAGTTTACCTGAACAGGCTGGCGTGTTCTCAGTTTAAAGTCTTAACTGACAAACGGCACCTTCCACTCCCGAGTGCTTTGCCGAATTGTAAACCGAGAGTATACAAATTCAAAGTACCGATGTGTAGGTTAATGTGAAGGATCATTTGACAAGCGCAGAATATTTTCCCTTCAGAGTTATTGAGCTTGAAATGACCAAGAACAGGGGAGGCATGATGGGCTTCGTATCCCAGTGCCCTCCACCTCGGGTTTTTGGTTCTGCCCCATACAGAGCAGCAGAGTTTGTGCAGAGATGTTTTCACCAGACGGAGGGCTTGACAGTTCCCAGGAACGTGATACTTTTTGCTGCTGGGAAAAGCACGACATTGTACCAGAGAGGACGCCTGATGCATATCATTGCACTGATATGCATTCTGTTCCACACACACACACTCACACACACACACAGCTGACACTAAAATCAGCACTGCTTCTGAGAAGGTTTGATATCTGCTTTTTCATGTCTGTACATTTCATTTTTTACAAACACAATATAAGCACATGGTAAGCAACGGCCTAAAGCGATTTCGGTTTAACGTCTCACCCGGAAGGACGGCACCTCCAACAATGTAGCCCTTTCCTAGTACCTGTTTGGAGCGTCAGCCTAGACTATTGTGAGTTTGAATTCTCAACATGGAGCTTTAACCCACAACCTTGGAGTCCCATAGTGAAGTGGTTAGAGCATTTGCCTCCCAAATGAAAGGACCTGGGTTTAATCCCAGGCGAGGCAAAATCTTAGGCAAGTTTCCTTACTCCATTTATCCAGGAGTAAGTAGGAAACCCGGTTGTTATCGATAGGCAGATCGCTTTTCTGCAGGTAATAATCCCTCCCCCCGAAAAAAATGTGATCACGACTGTTTGTGGGACACTGTTTTGTTTAATTGGCTGCCACATTTTGCTCACAAGATACATTTTACGATATATTCTGTGAAGCGATTTGAGACGTCTCAACGATGTGATTAGGTGTTATATCAAATGCAAGGATTATTATTAACATTCGGTTTCAGAGACGAGAGTGTTAACCAACTGAGCCAGGCTGACACCTGATTGTGTACTCTGTGATGGATCAATGTCTCTTTTTGTAACTCTCTGAAGGTTTACACAAGCCAGTTTGTGAGTGTTGTGATGTTTGCTCTCATGATGTCCGAAGACCGAATCTCCATGCAGAAAAGGAGGAGAGAGATCATCCAGGGCCTACAGGAGCTGCCAGGTAACCAGATGTTGTGGAATTGACTTGATTTTAATCTGTCTGCTTCCTCCTCATGAGTGAGGACCAGCGCGGTCTAACCCTGTTCCAGAGTGACTCAGGGGACCCTACTCTTTCTCCTCATCAGTCATTTCCTCAAGCGAATGTCCGGTCCCTTTTAAAGTGTGTTACGGACACTGCTTTCTCGTTGACTGAAGAGAAATGCCTATAGTTATTTGAGATGAGGCCCTTTTTTTTAAAAATGGTGGGAGGCAATTAATTTAAATCCCTACTAATGCGGGTCATGTTGGTTTTAGCATCAGAGCATTTTGCCCACAAAATACACAAGTCAATTCACTTCACAGTATATTCTGTGAAGTGCTTTGAGACGGCTCAACAATGTGATAAGGTGCTATATCAAATGCAAGGATTATTATTTTCACCCCATTGTACTTGCATGACTCTCCTGCTTGATTGTATAGCACCGAAGGGTCACAGTTGAATCAATGCCATGTGCTACTGGATAAATTATAATAAAAATAATGATTAGTTATTATACCAGTGCCTATCACTTTGCTAAGCTTGGTTGCTTCAGGTTACAGAATGCTTCGTTCCAGATGCTGCACTTGGGGGGAAAAAAAATTGGCTTCTTAGGACCATAGAAGTTTACAGGACAGAAGATTTCTATTCTCATCTTTTGAGAATGCATTTTCTTTTTTGACGATTTGTTTTATTTGAAGACCTGATAAAGCAGGTTCTGAATCAGGACGAGGAGATCCAGAGATTGGCGAGCTCGCTGTACCAGCAGAAGTCTCTGCTCATCATGGGCCGTGGTTACCATTACGCCACATGCTTGGAGGGGGCGCTGGTGAGTAGTCCACTGTTTTACACAGGGACAGTGCAATAACAAGTACTCTGAAGTACAGGTGTCTTACTTAGTTGATTGGGTCTCAACTCAATAAACTCCAAACCCACCACAATAACCACATGAATTGCCCTTTCCCACTGTCCTTTTCTACTTCCTGAATCCCTCCTACTGGTTGTCCGTTAATTGTCAGTATCCTCAAACAGAATCTTGCCAGTAACGTGCAATATTAATAACAATAATCATAATAATCATCCTTGCATTTGATATAGAATCTTATCATGTCTGCAAGAGGCCTCAAAGCGTTTCACGGAATATATTGTAAAGTGAATTGACTTGTGGATCATAGAAGATCGTGGAGTCCTGTAGCTCAGTGGTTAGAGCACTCGCTTTGCAAGCGAGAGACCTGAGTTCAATTCCAGGCACAGGGCGAAACCTTGGGCAAGTTTCAAATGCAAGGATTATTATTATAATTAAGTTTATAGGTAAATTGTGTATATTTTGTGGGCCAAACAAATTAGTCATGGCTGTCTAATGTAGTCCTTGTCCTAAGAGCTGGAAGTGGATCGCAGATTTCCTGAGTGTACAACATCCTGACAGTGGGTCAGGCTCAATCTCATAGAGGCTCTGATTCACAATTAGTGAATCGCCTTTTGTGAACCACAGGCTTTTTGACCTTCATTGTCCACAGTGTGTAAAAGTCACACTCAAGAGCCCTGCTGATCACAATGCCATGTTGGTTTGGATGTAGAAGAGACTTTTCTGTCTTCAATAGCATCCCGTAGCGTAGTGGTTAGCATGTTTGCCTCGCAAGCGAGAGGACCCGGGTTTGATTCCTATGTGGGCCGAAACCTGAGGTTAGTTTCCTTACTCCACACTCCTCTGTTTACCTAGAGGTAAGTACGAACCAGGTTGTTAGTCAATTGGCGGATTGCTTTTCCGGGTTTAATAATCCCTTCATAAAAATAATTTGGTCACTCAATCCACGACTGTTTGTGGGACACTGGTGTGCGCAATTGGCTGCATCATTTCACCCACAAAATATACAGAATGGGACATTGCCATCTGCAAACTGGCTGCTGTGTTCACCTGCAAAGTGCAAAGTTGTTTTGTGCCCTTTTTTTGTGCCCTTTCGATGACCCTTTATAAAAAAAAATCTCTTGTGAACTTGTACATCATTTGTGGGTACTCACGTCTATAGCTGCGATAAAACCGGCCTTCAGATTTCCTTGTTGAAACACGGTGTCCATCTGTTACAGAAAATTAAGGAAATCACCTTCATGCACTCGGAAGGGATTTTAGCGGGCGAACTGAAGCACGGGCCCCTGGCACTGGTGGACAAGCGAATGCCAGTTATCATGGTGATCATGAGAGATCCCACCTACATCAAGTGCCAGAATGCTCTGCAGCAAGTCGTGGCCCGGCAGGTTAGTACCCGGCAGCTGACACGTCAAACCAACCTACACACAGTCACACACTTGTCAGCAATCACTCGTGAAGCCCTTCGAGCATTTCATAGAAACAGGGAGGAAGCAATTCAACTCATCAAGCCTGTTGCACCAGTTCCTGGCAGAACTTTGAATCCCGTTCTCCTGCCTTTTCTCCATAACCCTGATACCACGACTCCACCAGTATATCTCGATCTCGCTTTTAAGCATCCCAGTTGATTCTGCCTGTAGCACCTCTTGAGGTAGGGAATACCATTCTCACAGCCCTTTCTTATTATGCACCGACAGTGTAAAATTAGTACTTGAGAGCCTATTAATGCTTTAAAGGTTTCACATAGGGATGTCCTACCAAGTGGATAAGCAGTTTGGCTTCGACGTTGACATCGCTGCAATCACAGTGATTGGGTTTAAACAGTGCACAGGGTATCTACAAAGTCCTCTTATAAAAAGCCCTGTTATAAAACAGCGATACGAGACTACTGAGGGCCTGAAACAAGTTGTCAGAGATGCGTTTTGCCTCGTCAATCCATTCGTGCAATGGAAGATGTTGCACCAAACATATTGGTAGATCACCATCTGACATGAAATTAATGGTACTCGCACTGATCCTCTGGATGTCTAAATAAAGTTAACCACTTGTACTGAATACAACTAAGTACTTCTAAATATAATTATCATCATTCTTCCACACATTTCAGCTGTTGGTCAGTGCACTGTTGAGAAATAACATGGGATTAACAGGACTTTCTGGACACCCTGTAAACCGAGTGTATGATCCATGTGTGCCCAGTTATTATGCTAAAAATTAGGCGTTAGTTTCTTACAGTGTTGACTGTCTTTGCTGATGGATTAGAAGTATGTCTTTGGGGTTAAGCAGATTCAAAATCATCATCACATTGAATCTATTATGAAATATCATAAATTTCACTCCACTAACCAGCACCCCCCTCCCCCCCCACACGCACACACACATGCTGAATTTGCAAAGCCTCTCACGGAGGGGACACTGAGAGGAACCCCCTTGGTGCATTTCTGACCACATCCCTCACTATTTAAACCACTCACAGTGTTGAGTTCAGCCAAATCTAGATAGTATCACACAGAAGCAGGATGACATGAAGATTTTCTCCCTGTTTTCCTGGCTTATATTCCTTTCCTCATCCAAATATATCTGTAGCCTAGAAGTCCTGTAGCGTACTGGTTGGAGCACTCATCTTGCAAACAAGAGGATCCACGTTTGATTGCCAAAAAATAAGTAAAAAATATTTGGTCACTCAATCCACAACTGTTTGTGGGGCACTGCTGTACACAATTGGCTGCCGCATTTTTCCCACAAAAATGCAGCCAATTCACTTTACAGTATATTCTGTGAAGCGTTTTGAATTGTCTCAACGATATAATAAGGTATTACATCAGATGCAATTATTATTATTACCTCCAAATTCTAATTATGAATGTATGTTATTCATTTCCATCTGCGCCAATTCACTTCAGTGTTTATAGGCTGTTGCTAACATTAATTAGCATATAACATGCCATTATAACATTCATTTCATTCTTACCAAATATTGGGAGAAATTGGGTCTAACTTACTCTATATTTTAGAGTCTCCAGAATTTGGCAAACTCAGCACATTTGACAAATTCTTAATTTTTAAGCTGTTTTTCAATAAGGTTATTTTACGACCTACAGAAAACTGACTTCAAAGTCGCGACTGATTTCAACAGTCTGCCAAGTTCTGGACCCGGTGAAAAGCAACAGAAATAGAGTAAATCGAGCCCCAGGTGTAATTTCTTCCCCATATGTTTTATAAAGCGCCTAGATGTTTATTTTTATGCGAAATGCGCTGTATAAACGTTATTGTGCTTCTCAATTAGCTTTTCATTCTGTTTCAACTAGGGCCAACCTATTGTGATCTGCGAGAAAGATGACTATGAGACTATGAAGAACGCGTATCACGTGATCAAAGTACCTCACACAGTGGACTGTCTGCAAGGCATCCTTACTGTTATCCCACTGCAACTTCTTGCCTTCCACCTCGCCGTCCTCAGAGGCTATGATGTGAGTATCACCTTTATCCACAATGTACTCTACGTAGCAGCCTGGCTCAGTTGGAAGCACATTTTCCTGTGAGTCAAATGGCTGTGGGTTCAAGCCCTATGTTGAGACTTTGAACTCTCAATCCAGCCTGAGATTCCAATGTAGTGTTGGGGGGAGCGATACACTGTTGGAGATGCTGTCCTTCAGATGAGATGTTAAACCGAGGTCGCATCTGCTTGTTCAGGTGGACAGAAACAACAGATTGCATTTAAATAACGTCTAAGACAATGGACAGTCGAGGGTTTGCACACGAGCTGGGGATTGGATTCGGGAGGGGTGTGGGCAATTTCGTAGGAAGATGACCAAAGGCCTTAAGGATGATAAAGGTCTCATGGCACTACTCAAAATGAGAAAGGAGTTTCTCCCAGTGTCCTGGCTCACAATCACCAGATAAAACTGGTCATAGCTGTGTGCAAATTGGCTGGCGTTATTATTATTGTTATATTATTTCCATTCATGTGATGGATTTTGAGCAGAAGGTTGAAAGGGAGAGGCATAAAACCTTTAAACTCAACAAGTCTTTCATTCCGATTTTGTTCTCGTTTCCTTCATCATCGTTGTGACCAATTTCCCGGGCCTGACTGGCTGATCTTCTTCCCACAAAACCGGACGTATTCCCCCTGGATGATGTACGCTGGGCAAATGAAAGGTGGATGACAACAAGCGACTGAGGAAGATAGAAGCCGATTATTTGCCAGTGTGAAAGTCAACCTGGATATTGAAGAACACAGCCAAAGATTTTATATCCAGCTCGGGGGCGGAAGGGCCTATCTTATCTACTTGAAGCAGGACATCTCTCCTCTATTGATCTCCTGTGATACTCAATTTTTTTTAAAATAGTTTTTTTGGTGGGTGGTAGGGGTGGAGGTTAAATGCCCATATTATCAGCACGGGAATATTGTAGTTTTCTGCCCTGCCGTTTGTAAATGGGACATCATTTTTTAAACAGTCCGCGTGGCCTTTTGCTTAAACCACAGATGGTTATTATAGGAGACATTAAACATTGGTAGAGGTGAAGTGGTCAGTCACTGAAACATGCTATATACTCAGGTCAACTTTTTCTGAAAGCCTGCTAAGCAAAAGGCAAGCAATTTAATCTTAATACCTTTATGCCTACAGTTTTTGCCAATAGAAAACAGAAAAAACCTGACAGCACTTCCCTGTGAAACTCTTTAAGAAAAAGATTGCAAAGAGCTTTGAGATGTTCACTGTTACAGGCGCTGTATCAACTGCAAGGATTGTTGTTTTCTTTTAATTATAATTACTATAGGAGCTAATCCAAATTCATTCAATGGGCAGGTTTCACATCTGGTTTCAGCTTATCGATTGCCCTGTAGACCATTCCCAACACCACTCAACAATGACTTCTCTCGAGCATGTATAGGGTGTGCTGACCTTGTACAAAAAACACAGTAAAACCGCGATAGATCCCTTCTTTGAGATGAAAATATAACAAAAACTTTCAGGTGGTATTGTTTTAGTCCAAGTAAAACTCAAATAATAACTCTGATCTGTATAAATCATACACTCGCCTAAGTCATACACCTGCCCAAGTCCCATTCAAGAGATACATTCTGTGCAACTTTGCATAAGTCACTTTAAATGTATGGTCCCAACTATATGAGTTATGTGAAGTTTACTGTAGTAGAGAATAAATTGCTCCAATATATAATTGCTTGACAATAAAAGGAGCCCTGTCATAATGTGGATATATTAAGGTACCTCCACCATGCATCAGACCAATGAACTGTAAGTGTCCGCACCTACATCGAAGCTTTTTTCTCTCACTCAGGAAACAGTCTGAACATTTAATGCTGTATTGTCATTTCTGATTTGTTATCAGGAGGTGCACTTTAATGGGTGAGTTTGTGCATGGTGGGAGTTGTCTCTCTCTTTCTCTCGTCCACTATTTTCCTTTCCTCCACACCCCAACAACAATGTTCCCTCTTGCCCTGGTGAGAAATCTTTTAATATTTGTTTCCTTCGGAAGTAACTCAGAAAGGAGAAACTTTGAGGGAACACAAAGCACACTGCCTTTTGAGTAATGTGTGATAGAGTAAATGTAACAGTGAGAGATGGGAGGCGTGCCAGAGAGAGGAGAAACAGCGAGTGACGTGAAAAAAATAACACACCAGTTATTGCAGCTTCAACTTCACGGCGAGTTTCAGTCACGCCCTATTTATTTCGCACGATTTTTGTAAAGAATGCAAGCTCTGGGAGGAGGCTGCTCAAGACAATTTTCTGCCCTTGCAAGTTTCCTAGCTACACACTTCTTACCAAGCAATAAGTAGGAACCTGTTTGTCAGCCAATTGGCAGATCGCTTTCCGGGGGTAATAATCCCTTAAAAAAAAATTGGTCACTCAATCCACGACTGCTGTGTGCAACTGGGTGCCGTGTTTCACCTGCAAATTATACAACCATTCCACTCTGTGAAGCACTTCGAGACATCTCGATGACGTGGTAAGGCGCTATATCAAGTGCAAGGATTATTATTGTTACACATTATTATGTTTATACCCCCCCTCCATGTAAAAAGCTTCCTCCACCTATGGCTACGTCCTCACAAATTTGTAATTGACATCAGTGTCACCTTGGCTTTGCTGCCACTTTTACACCTCTGACACCTTTTATTTGGCTGCCTTTAATGCAGACACTTCCTGAGATCTGATTGATGGCAATTTGACCCAATCCTGAATCAAACCGGAGTGATCTCTCCCCCCCCCCCCCCCCCCACCCAACCTCCCTGCCAACCATATGTGAGAGTACAATTTTCTGCCCTAGGCAACTACCTAGTTTGCCTATAACTGGAGTGGTACTGGCACTGAGACACTTCACAGGTGAAGGACACTATATAAATGGAAGTTGTTGTTGTTAAATGCATCCTTTTGTATTTTGAAATACCCGCATTAGGAAAGGTTTGGTAAGTAAAACTCGCATCAGTCTGATCTGTATAAATTATGTAATCGCCTAAGTTCATACATCTGTCCCAAGTCTTGTTCAAGAGTTTATATCCTAAGCAAGTTTGACATAACTCATGCTTTGCATTAGTCATTAATGTATGGTCCCAATTAATCCTGACTTACATGAGGTTTACTATATAAAACTTTCCGGCTTATTTTGTCTCTGGGAGGAGCAAGTCACTTTTGTTTGAAAGAAACCTTTTGCGTTTGAGTTGACCAGCGTTGCAGTATTTGGGAGTCAAGTTCCAGGATGTTTCCGCAGAATGTGTTTCTACGCGTTCATCCACCCTCAGGAAGCATTGCATGTGCGGGCACACACTGAATTATTAGGGAAACGTGCAAACAAGCCTCTGTAATGATAATGCTGCCACAACGTGTCTACTCTTCTGTATTCACTCGGTCACTTTGTTAACATAATAAAAAAGTGTCTGTAGCAGATTTACCGATTTAACTTGTTTTTACATTGTTTTGCCTTCAAAAAAAAGTCTCATTACAGTGAATGCGATGAAGCTCTTTCAGACATCCTCCTGACATGAAAGGTACTGCATTTGGAGTTGAGGTACCGATCAGCCATTATCTAATAAAATGGCAGAATAAGTTCAAAGGGCTGAATGGCCTACTCCTGTTCCTATGCATAGGATTATTATTAAACAGCTGCATGTGGTAACCTGTTTTTTTTATTAGGTAGAGAGTTACCTTATTTCTATGGATAGATGTTCTGTCTGCATTTTGTACGTACAATTTACGGATGTGTTCATTGATTTGATGCTGTAACTGATTTTACTGACCCCAGCCGTGTATTGCGGTGTCAGTTTAGATCTAGGCAATGTGAGTTCAAAGTCCCGACGTGGGGCCTGAACTCACGACCTTCTAACTCCGAGGTGAGCGTGCTGTCGACTGAGCCAGGCTGAGATGACACACTTCCGAATTGGGCCGAATGGCCTGGTTCGTGCTATGAAGTCTGTGTAAATGGTGATGTTGCAATCTCCATGATTCACTGTGAATCACAACAGCTTTTGAAGAAGAGCAGCTTTCTTTCCTTCTGTCAGTCTGTCTGCAGTCGAGTCGACCACTTATAATAATAATCCTTGCATTTGATATAGCACCTTAACACATTGAGATGTCTCAAAGCGCTTCAAATGATATACTGTGAAGTGGATTGACTGTATTTGTGGGCAAAACTCAATGAGACACACAATCAACCCTCATCCTCCTTTGATGTCTTCATTTTGTTTATTCAAGGATCAAGTTTTTCCCGAAGCTGCAATTTCTCAATTTGGGGGAGGGGGGGGAAAACAAGTTCTACCCTTGCAGCACATCCGCAAAGTATCTTGTTTATGAATATTTCTGGCTGTAATTGTCTTATCCTGATCCACAATCTGTCTGTGGTTCAAGCAAATAGTATCACTTTATTTTGCAGATAACTTGCAGATGCATACATGAGGAAGAAGGGAATGGAGGGATGGCCAATTTGCACAGCAGTGTCTCACAAACAGCTGTGAAATGAATGTCATTATAAGAATTATTTCCTCCCCTTCAGTCATAAATTTGTTATTTTTAATTCTCTGCATGTGTAGATTCTTGCAAACATCATGCATTGTTTTCACTTAATTATTTCCCCTCAGTTTTCCAGGAAGGGGAATTTATGCTTTATCCTGGGGTGGGGGGAGGGGAATTTTTCTAGTCATTTCAATTTGGCAGTAGTGTTTTCTCAAAAATGTGCCTTTGGAACCGTTTCTAACTGCTACATGTAAATATTTTTGTGCACGTGTTTCTTTCTAAATTGGATGCCACTGACATTGCAAAACTACAGATGCTATCGTGAGGATTTGCTGTGAGTCCAGTCTAATTTAAGCAAATAAAGTAATGTCTAGACATCTTGGGTCCAATTTTTTTNCCTCTGGTGCATGAGGAGCAATTGTTCCTTGTTAACAATAGAGGCCTGTCCAGGTCACTGGGAGCAGGGATTCTTCCCAGTCAGCTCCTATTAACCCCGCAAGTCAAAACCGGAATGGGTAGGGTGGTCCTTGTCAGAATTTTGCCCGACACTGCTCTTAAAAGCAAACTGCAGTTTTAGCTGCATTAGACTCCAGAAATTACACCAATGCACACTCTGGGGTCTCCAAGCTTTGGCTTTCGCCAACCTGCGCCTAATGCTCTCCTGAATTAGGTAAGCATCCCTTGAGAGAGAGAGTGTCCATTCCATTCTAAACACGGAGAAATCTCCAAGTGTAGGTGGCACACGTGTACAGAACTCTTAAGACTGGTTTGGATACTTTTAAGCTTGGTGATGGGTTTCTGCACTGTGTCAGAAATCAGCTGACAAAAAATAAAATTAACAATAACAGCAATGGATAACTCGCTGTCTGTGGTAAAGGTGCTTTCTCCCCACTTCAAGTTTGTCACCTCTTCTGAAGCCATTGATTCCTTTTTTTTACTACAACTGTGTTGTGTCCCATGGAGGTCAGGCACTCCCAAGTATCTCCCCTGAGATGGTCATTCTTTAGGCTAATTAAGATGGGGTGTGAGTTATAAAGCGAAGTCATAACTTGGATTTATACATTATAGTGTGTTTTGTGTTAAAAATATACATTCTTAAAGCACTTTACACATTCCAATAATAAACCTTGCATTTGATTTTAACACTTTATCACGTTGTTGGGGGCCTTCTTATATCGCTTCACAGGATTTTGCTGTGTGACTAATGTTCTGCAAACAAGTGCAGTAAAATTGTAGAAGATGATAACGACAGGGTGAAATGTTCCCCCTCCCAAGGGCACTGAGGCACAATGCAGACTCTCCCCAACCCCACCCTCCCACCTGATGTTTAAGATATGTGGACTTGTCACTAAAATCTCAATGTCTTCCCCTGTGCTGTTGTCAGACTAATTTCTATTTTTCCTTCTCGCTCTAGCCTTCTGTTCACCTAGAAATACAGTCACTACACTTTACAGGAAAAATCCTTCAAAATGCTTTGAGATGTTTCAATGAGATAAGGCATTGTATCAAATGCAAGGATTATTATTATTTCAGATTCCCAATGCTTTTGCTCTCCTTTATACCCTGAAGTAGTCCTTGCACTTAACAATGACTAAATTCCATCCCATTGATGGGATGGATTTTCAACGTTGTCTCTGTCTACGCTCGGGAGCTCACTGTCTTTCTATCTGGCGCCATTGTTTTTTTAACAAATCTAAAGCTGTAATTTTACGCTTGATGGTACCTCCGCTATTTCGCCTTACTCTCCAGCACCTGAATCTTAACTCGTGTTACAAAGCTGCACATTCAGGTAAAGACATGTTAAGTTGACCTACAAAATACATGGTTACTGCACTTGACAGCAAACAAAGGCTTTGAGATGTCCTCCCAACTTGAAAGGCATTACATCAAATGCAAGGATTATTACTGTAACAATTTGTGGCTAAAGTTGCTACCAGACTTTGTTGCGTACAACACTTTAGAGACAAATACTTTGTCAGGAACCTATTTTTGAAGCAATTAAGTAAGAATTGTGAATGATGACAAGCAGAACTGGTTTCTGTGGTGAGCAGAGGAATCAGGAGTTTGTTGTTACTTCAGAACCACTTTATTAGTCCAAAAATATTTTCACGAGCACGAGAGACAGAAATCTGGTGTGACTCAGAGGAAAGAAAACAAGCTCTCGACTCTCAGACTTCAATGTAAAGTAAAGTGGAATGTAGCAGCTCT